TGGCGCACAACCTGAACATTGCATGTGTACCAGGTCAGGATTCAGGTTGGGCGTCATCTTGGTACGAATACTTGGAATCCTTTTAAAAAAAAATTGCTCAACATTATATACTCCACACCCACCTGGTTATCATTATTTATGTCATCGACATAATATCTAAACAATAAAAAAAAACTTTATGTCCAAAACAATGTTAATTAAAGCCCGATTTTGCCGGACTAAAAGCAACAGTGCGCGCTGCGCGTTAAAGAGTGATGATAGTGCAGTGTTATTTTCACAGACTTCAAGACTATAAATAATTTTATCATAGTTAAAGAAATTTGTAAAATGTTGAAGGATTGTTATGTCATCAGGAGGTCATGGTTGACGAAACATGTCTTGTCACTTCCATTTGAATGAATCACACAGATGTAATCAGTTCTCTCGAGACAACGTGGCATGCGGGTGTGCTTATTCGAGTGGGATTTATTCGGGTTGGGACGTACAGCAAGCAAGTGTTTCCTTTATATTTTTTTCGGATGATGAAATTACTTGAATCAAGGTAAATCGTTATTGCTAATAGACATAAAATGCCATTATCTCAGCCGCCTAACATTGATTGCGGCGGGCGGAGCCAATAGTTCGGAAGCAATGCAAGGGATTGACATTTCTTTAAAGAAAAAGGCGAAAGACTCGATTTACTCTGAGAATCCATGTAAAAAGCTAAATGACATGACATCAGGAAAAGCCTCCGTTGAAATCAATAAATTCGTGCTGCTAAAAGATATTGAAAAACCTCTTCGTTCCTTCAATCCAAATGTAATTCATAGGAATATATTAGGAAAAATCAGTTCCTTTGTAGAAATTAAAGTATTGCATACCGGAAATCTAAAAATTGAATGCGCAAATGAAAAACATGTGAAAATTTATTTGGAATGTGAAGACTTAGGAGACAGCAAAACAAAAATTCCATCAAAACAAAGCTATTTCAGAAAAACAACCTGTTTGTGGGGTAATAAGTGAGGTCTGTGATGATTTGAGTGATCAAGAAATTCTTGAATCACTGTCTGGACAACACGTTGTTTATGCCAAGCGCTTACAGATGAAAACAAATAATAGACTGCTTAAAAGTAGATCCGTACTTTGCAGTTTGATACCCACATTTTGCCTTCATCAGGTAAATTAGGATATCTAAATTTTCGAACAAGAATTTATAATCCTCCAACTCGTTTTAATTGCCACCGATACGGTCATTTAGCAAGATTTTAGCAGAAGTGCCCTGCGCTGTGCACGATGTGGAGGACATCATAAATATGAAGCATGCCACAGTAGCATCAAATGCCCGAATTGCAACGGAAGTCACAATGCCGGGTATGGTGGGTGCGCTAAATATAAAATGGAAACAAAAATTCAGTCGATTATGACACAACAAAAATTAGATATTCTGAAGCAAGAAATATTGTTACATCACCACCAGCCCTTAGTTCAGAAGAATTTCCACCATTGCCATGGCAAAATAGAAACAGTCATTCTAACAATGCTAATTCAAAATTACCGAGTTCTAATCTTGCGAAAAATGATGTAAACAAGTCAATTCCTCGTCAGCAGCCTTTATCTCAGACACAAGAAAATTCTGCATGTAGTTCCCATACAGCATATAAATTGATGCCTATAGCAATGCAACAAACGATCTCACAAATCAACTTTGAACCTATGCTCCTTATGAGTTCAATACTATTTCCGCTCAATCCCGAGGGAGAGAGCAAGCAGATGTTTTTCAGATAATATCATTGTCTACAGAACATACATTGAAGTTTCCAATCATAATAGAAAACCCAAAGGATTTAGTATTCAATGAATCAAATGTATAATATTGGGAAGTTGCTTATCATGCAGTGGAAATGTCGAGGTATTTATCGCAAAGCAAACGAACTAAAGCAATATATTACGTCCATAAAACAAATGCCCGATTTAATTTTGCTCCAGAAGGAGCATCTCATTGCGAAATATTCCCCTCGGATAAATGGATACAATTTGATAAGGAAAGACCGATCTTTATATGGCGGAGGAGTTTGTATATTAATTATCAACAGGCTTCCATACGCGGAAAATCAATTAAATTCATTAGTGATTGAAATGCAGTGCATTGATGTTTGTGGATATAACCTAGGTAATATATATATATATATATATTTCACCGAGCTAAGCTATATCGGAATCTGAAATGACGCGCGTCATCCCTTTCTCCTTTAATTTTGGCAGATTTAAATAGCCACCATCATTTATGGGGAAGTAGAATTAACAATACCTGAGGTATCCACCTTTCAAATATAATAGATAGACATGATCTTGTGATACTCAACACACAGCATTCCACAAGACTCAATACAGGATCCAGATCATCGATGGTCATTACTAGATCTATCTGTGGCTTCTTCAGACATCGCACCACAATGTCATACAAATGTAACAAATGATTTTCTGGGAAGCGATCATTGTATTGTTACAACATCAGTGAACGTAAGAAATATTAAAGCAGACAATTTATATCATCTTGGAGATTTCAAAAAGCTGACTGGTTAAAGTTTTCCAATCTAGTTTCATCACGATTGCCTCGTATCATCAGTACATTGGACATCGATAGCTTCAACAATAGTTTTACAACTGAACTCATTCACGCGGCTAACAAATCAATTCTTGGATCTCAGTGTCAGTACCATGGTGGACAAACGACTGCGCAAGGGCCATTCGACTCCGAAAAGCAGCGTATATGAAAATGAAGAAGACATTTCACGAAATAGATATTATCTACTTCAAAAAGATGAGAACTAGTGCTCGAAAAATAATACTAGCAGCAAAACGAGGTTGTTGGCAAGAATTCTGCTACTCGATTAACTCGCCAACCCAGTTTTCGAGAGTTTGGAAAATGGTACACGCATTTACAGATTCTCCAAGAATTATAATATTCCTACGCTTACGGGTCAAAATGGTGCTTGTGTCACAAGTAATTATGATAAGGCAAACCTAGAGGGGGCTACATTTCAAACAGTAAGCAGTGCTGGAAATTATAATAATCAGTTTTTGGATAGAAAACGAAACTTTGAGATAGGTATATATCCAGTAATAAATTTAAACCTCGACTATAAGAACTCGCTGAATGTTCCGTTTACTATGTACGAATTAAAAAATGTGCTTCATTCGCGTAAAAGTACAGCGCCTGGCCAGGATCAAATAGGTTATCCTATGATAAATAATTTACCACAAGAAATACATTCCACCTTGCTACAGCTTTTTATCGTGGTTCGAAAGGCGCGTGCTGAAAGCGTGGCAGCACTCGATTGTGGTACCTATACTAAAAACAGGGAAGAAGAACACCTCGCCGTCATCTCATCGCCCGATATCTCTTACAAGTAATCTTTGTAAAGTCATGGAATAAATGGTGGCCGACAGATTTAAATGGTTTCTGGACAGGTTCAATATTATTCACGAAACACAATCTGGTTTCAGGTCGAATAGATCAACATTGAACAATATTATCAGTCTGCACGATGATATATACAAGGCTCCTTCAAGCAAGCGACACGTTATTGCAGTATTTATTAATATTGAAAAAGCTTACCATATGGTTTGGCGTGATGACTAATTTATAAATTTCATAACATTGGTATAAAGGGACGAATCTTATCGTTGATAAAGTCATTTTTATCAAACCGATCTTTCCAAATACGGGTTGGATCCACTTATTCTAACTAATAGTTTTAAATCGGAAAAGGGGATGATTGTTCAAGGTAGTGTGATAAGTCCATTGCTTTTTACAATCATAATAAATGATCTTCCAAACAACATTTCCTCGACATCCAGAACATTTGCTGATGATTGCGCCACGTGGGAGATTGGTTTAAAAATCAACGAACTTATATCGGATATGCAAATGACATTAAATAAAATCAGTTCGTGATGTCAAGCGTGGGGATTTATCATCTCAATGACAAAATCGTGTGCTGTATTATTTTCGAGATCACGTAAACCTCCACCATTACATCTCTACATTGACGGACAGGAGTTGCCGGTTAAATCGGAGCATAAAAACCTTAGCGTTATATTCGACAACAAGTTGACGTACAAAGGTCATGTGGAACATGTAACACACACA